CATCTATTTTCGAAGCACTTCAATGTTTGATTCTTCGTGCACGTGCAGAACGTGTAAACTGGTCACGTGATAGGAGGGACTGGGYACTAGTTCCGCGCGAGGACATTGCACATGTAAAGTTTCAGCGCGCGTGTAAAATGACTTCGACTTTTTTGTCAAGTGTCGTCTTCAGTGCAGATCTATTATGCATGTAAGTACTTAAAATTTGCGTTAAAGACTTTGGTACCGGTTTGGGTTTAAATGGTCTTGGGGTTGGCATTAAGGCTTGGGGCTAAAATGGCAGTAGGGCTAGAGCTATTAGGGTTAGTGCAATRGTGACTAACCCTAATGTCAGTTAACCCCAAACCCTAACGCTAACCCTAACTACAATCACAAAAGTTTTGAGCTAACCCTAACGCCATAAACTAACCCCAAACCCTAGCACAAACCCTAATGTAAATTTTTCTAAAAATCAGTTGCGATTATGTTAGTAATTATGACGACACCGTTATGACGATACGTTCAGTGACGTACTCACAATTATCTTTGATAAGAGCTTGATTGGATAATTATGATAATTTATGCACATAATTTATATTACTGGATGTGATTTTTTAGACATTGGGGAGGGGAAGGAGGATACATTCAGTATCATATATAAGGGAGGGAGGGGAGGGGGGAACCAAATCAGAAATAGATTTGTTTAAAATATTAGTCAAATTTTTATCAAAACAAAATAAATGATATGATTCATGTATTTCACTTTTCTTTATTAACAATTAACGAAACAATATACACAATCAAAACTACACATTTGACCCAAAAAAAATGGATATCATAATTCCAATATATATTCACACTTTATTAGCTCCGAGAACTAATCTCGTAACAAATAAGTGCAGCTTAGAGCAAATGCAGGAAAACCATGAAACTAAATCAAACTAAATACTAACAAATTGCCGCTATTTAGTGACAATTTGTCAGATCATTGAACCAGAACACAATGAAGATGAATCCACATGGGAACATTTTTATTGCATTCTGGTTCATTGATACTGACAATTTGTCTCTAAATAGTCGCTATTTGTTAGTATTTAGTTTGATTTTATTTCATGGTTTTCCTGCGCTTGCTCTATTGCATACCACTTACATCACGATTCAGTTTTAGGGTGAAAGTTGTTCCGTACCCGGGGGGGTACTCCCTAATAAAAGAGGGCKGAGGTCCTCGTCGTTTCTTTTAGGGTTTGAAGTCAGTCAAGTTTTGGTCCCGCTCACTAATAGGGTGATAATGACGAGAATCCCCACCAAATGAGTTTTGTGGTTGGTCCCTTTTAGGGTATACGACGACCCTGAGCCGTCATCATATCTTTGTATATAACAACGTCCTCATAAACTCAATACGAGCCAACGGCGTTTGATGCTTGTGCAAAAACACAAATGAAATCGGGAAACCAAGACAAAATAACCGATCCCTCTTTGGGGTGAAATTTCAATGCTGCCACGCCCATCATCTCAAAATAAAGGTCCCTTTTAGGAGTCATTTTCAGAATTTCCGACGAGGACCCCACCCTTTTTTATAAGKGAGTCATCCCCCCCTCGGGGATCCTCATGAAGAAAACTCTTCCATTTACACCAAGTTGAGTTGCTTTTTGCAACAATAAAACATATTGAGTAAGTTAAGGTTATTGCGAGCAACATTCGCCTTCCTTTAGTAAAGTCTTGTATATTATCAATTCCAACAAATTCTCACTTTTCCACAAAGAACTTGTATCAAGTCTTTGGGAAAATGAAAATGTATTGAATATATGCCGGTAATACAAAATGCATTTGTTCRGCTAATTTTAAAGTTAATGCGCATAACAGGTTACACCAATTGGTTGTCCATATTATTGATGAGTGCACTAATGACAAAGACGCAAACACAAACGTAATCGTAAAAATCCGTGAATTGTCATTTCAGCTTACATTCATGAGGTAGCGGAATTGCACAGTTAGCAACTAAGCAATTAATATTATAACCCTTAGTTGTTATTCTAAGCGTTTCTGTCACTGATGCACCCATTCAAGTATAATAATCATAATTTCTAGCTAGTTCATCTACACAGATACAGACGTTTTCTTGGCGTAGAAGTCAAGACTTTCTTTCCAGTCTTTTGCTTCATCGATAGTTGCAGCCTTTAGACTCCATTCACGATCGTCTGTTTTAATACGAATTATGGTAGAATCCTGTTCATCAAAGATCACAGGACCGTCCTCATAAATAGATAGTGTTCATAATCTTTCCTTGTGCTTTCTTGTAGTAGTGGAGGTGACCTCCTTCTGCAAGCTCAAAGTATCTGTTGTCCCATTTAGGAGCTTTATGTTTACCACCGCTCAGTTTATCTAGATAACCTTGCTTTGTTGGCCTTAGTGTAAGGGATTCCTTAGGAGAAAGTTTAACGCTGAGCTGAAATAGCAATAGAAAAATGTAAATATCTATTTCACTTCACAACGAGTTTATCTGAGAAACAGCACTAGGAAGATACTGAAACGAATGTTTTCCTTCTTGATCTTTTCTCAAGTATTACTGCGATTATAAACACTACTTAGRAAGTTTGAATCATGGCTAACGAACCTTTTTGTGTGTGACTTTTGGTGAATGTGTACGGAACGGTGAAGTTTGCGGTTCGAGCTCTGAAACTGAACTTCTTGCTTATTCGTCTTCAAAAGAATTCTGCAAGAAAAGAAAGACGTTGAAGGTTAATAAGTGGGACGCATTTATCTTTCATTTGTACACTCATTCATTCAGTCAACCATAAGCCCTTTCAATTCATTTATTCATTTTCCCATCCTTCCATTTGTCCATTAATTCATCCATTCACTGGTTATTCATTGAAGCTTACCGATGATGGTCGTCTTTCTTGTCCACTGTCTACAACGTCTCCTGTTAAGCTGTCGTTTGGAGTTCCATTTTCTGTAGGTTCTGAGTTCGTCGATGTCGATGCCAGTTCCTGTGGGAAAAAATGTAGATAAAGAAAAACATCTAATATTGATCTACTTATTTACTTAATTATTGTTTCCTTTTTGCGAAAAGAGAAGATAAAATGCGTGAAAATAGAACGATGTGGAAAATCTTCATCGTGCGCAAATAACGTATCACATCTTACCTGGTCTTGAGACTGGGATCTAGCCATTCGAGCAGCAATAGCATTACTAAAAAAGACCAACAAATATACTCTTATTACTAGTCAAATAAATATTGTACAAGGCCATGATTCAAGAGAAGAAGAGAAGTAGTGTGGTTCCTTCAAAATATCATGGGATGGAAGTTAGAGGGAAGACATTAAACCCGTGAAATACAATCTAAAGGAATGTTATTCGTCTATTTGTTTCACAGAACCACAATACTTATTGGTTTGCCATTAATTTCATCTTTTAGAGTTAAGTAAATATACTAGACTATTAACCTTGGATACTAAAATACTTCGATATTAGTTCAGTGCATAGTGGGTTTGCCCGTCCCAAAAGCTGGAGATCACTACTTGAAATCCAGTTATCATCATTTATATTTATTTGTTAAAATGATTCATTTTTCATTTAATTTCATAGCATATCCTTATTAAAATTTCTTATTATTATTAAAGTCAATCAATCAATCAATCAATCACTTTTTTCTTTATATTATTGTTTGTAACTGTGCCATAGTTTGAATTTGCTGTTGTTTATTGGTTTCAAATCAACTTATTACAAACAAAATTTACTTAATTAAAGACTGGAAACTAATTGCTATAGCGCGAGATGAGAAATCTTCAGATCTTACCAGCAATTTAGTGTGAATGTATCGAAATGTACTTCATTTCTTTAAACTTTTCAATTAAATCTCTAAGCTTTTTTTCATATTCTACTACAACTTCCTGTAGCAGTGTTAAGGATGAATAAACGTGTGAAATTCTAAATGCATGTTAGGAAGTGGAAGTGGTTATTCAAAATACGTGTAAAAGTTTGATTGGATTCTGTGGTTCTCGATCACGTTGATCGGGAGGTGCATCTGATGAATCCCGTCACATTCAGAAGCAACGAGCTTTTATCATGACTTATAAGTATAGTTTACAACATGAGCGGCCGTGTTGTATGGGAATTACAATCTCGAGCCGCAGGCGAGAGATTGTAATTCCCATACAACACGGACGCGAATGTTGTAAACGACTTATACAACTCCAACAGAAATTAACATGAATTACAGTGAGATAAATGACGAAAAATGACAAATAAGGTAACTGCTGAGTTTAGTCGCTATTAAGTATGCGCAATTTACTGCAACACAGAACATTTTGAATAATTATCCATCCCACATGGAAAGCAAGCCATCTGTTGCATAAGGGAGTTCTGTTATTCGTCTTTGATTGCTTCAAAACCTAGTGAAGGTCTATGATGCGATACTAAAACTTAGACATTTGCTAGTGTTGGGTTGTCTCAATGGTGACGGCCGTGTTGTAAATCTGATACAACACTAGTGGTTGTATCAGATTTACAAGGTCAATCACCTGATTAAATGGTCAGCCCTTATTGGAGCAATAGCTTATGCATTATTAATAAGTTTTATAAATGTAATTATACAAGACTGCGAAAAAGTACACAGTAAATGAGAAAATATCATTGACAAAACTATTTATTGTTATATCGCTATTACAACAAATTAACTTATCACTGTGAGTCTAGAGCTGATTCAGTCAGAAGCTGATTGTAGAGATCTGATCCTTCGTCTTCTCGAAGAATTCCAATATGGCGTCCTTACATGTGGTTTCTGTTACATAATTACTGCAATGTTTGGTCTTGTTAAGACTATGCACTAGTCAATTGAATTTTTGTTGACATGTCACGTAGGTGTGCACGTGATTGCCTGATTATTATGGTTTATTTAACTCTGGGCTACCTGTACCCTACTATTATTATGGTTAACTCTGGGCTACCTGTGCCCTACTAACTCCAAGGTATCATTGGATTTAAGTTTTACTACTCTGAGCATGCTCACACTTTTCAATCAGTTCCATGAAGAGCAGTACTTCCCACATGGTTCTCAGTAAGCCAAAATAATAGTATATAAATCAAGCAAAATATAGCTAGTAACTTACGATGAAGTACTGTAGGCCCAAAGGATGACATAATGATAAAGAGATGATATAATATATGACGTCATGAGACGTAATACCACAGGAACCCCGAATTAGTAATCTTCAATAGCATCTCGACTCCAAACGCGACAATGACACACAGATAGATAGATTGGCTAAAAGGTAAAACTTAAATTCGGGCTACCCGCAAATAAAAATTGCTTTGGGAAACGTACTTCGTTTTGGTGCGTCCCTAATTAGCATAATTTTTGTAAACCCAAAAAGGAGTCCTGAAGTATAGCATGCTTACCTAGTGCATGTAAATATGAAATTTCTCGATGAAAAATTAAAAAAAAACATTTGTCTTATCCTGTGATGTGCCTTTAGTTCTGAATTGAGGTGTAATTTGCTGTTGTTCTTGATATTTCACCTCTATACCATCAGTGATATCACCAAAACCATATCACAAGTCAGACAAATGTTTTTTACTTATTTTTTCATTCAAAAATGTACGTCATACTTACATGCATTATAGATATCGCTATATCAGCAAGTCAAATGATTAGCTTTGGTTGCCTGCCTCTGGTGAATGTTGAAAACGCGCAGCCATCTCTGAAACCCAATTACAAATTATGACTCCAGTAGAAAGTGGATCGGCCACACATTTGTAGCAATTCCATTTTCGCATTCTTCTTCGAGAAATTTGGCTGAAAAATCTAAGTAYATTTCTTTCAAGGTTGTTGAACACCCAAAGTCTTTTCTTCTCAGTATGGTCGATCTTGTTGTTAAAGGAATGGTTATCCCATCCCTCCCCACTGGAGTAACAATATGCAAGTGGGCTTAAGGGTTCATGAAGTTGGAACTACCCAGTGACCCCTCCAAACTCAATTTTCCAAAATAGCTAGCCCGACTTCACGCTCCGAAACCACTAATTCAAATGGCCGTGTACCATACAGAGTTAGACTACATTCAAGACACAAAGAATTCCAACTTTATTTCCAAATAACAATAACTATAAAGATAGCAATTATTAAATATTTCTAAGTCAAACTAAAGTAACGTTCAACACCAAGTTCTAAGTCCCACGATTAACACAAGTGCAAGTCCTCAAACAACACATGCGAGTCATTGACCAATGTAACAACTCCCTMCCTAATCCATAGTGCAACTCCCTCCCCAACTCAAGATATGACCCCTCCCCAACTGAAGGTAAAATGACCCAAGTGGAAACCCTCCCAATCCCCAAGCAACCATAATGAGCAAGATAGTCTTAAGCCCAAATTAGACGGCGCAACTTCTGCACAAAATCATCACATGACACATGCCCAAATCGTCCTTACAACACAGCTACAACTGTCGTTACGATATAATTAGTTTTGTACTARCACCACAACTTGGGTGGCATTGTGCTGTAAGGACATCAAAACCCCGAGACCCATATGCAAGACCTAAAATTTTCATACCCTACCCCAGACTAAATCTAAGAATTTGGCTAGTTCTTTTAAAAACAGAGTTTACATTGTTTTTTGGTCGACCAAAAGTGCAGCTTAAAAATGACCAAAAGCAACCTCTAATCAGACTAAATAACCAAATGTAACACAAATTGTAACCGTGTCATAAAGCTATAATAAATTGTATATTTAGCACATATTGTGTATGTGTGCTTAGTGTTCAATCTACATTTGCCTCCATGGAGTCCTCATTTGAAACGGCACCACAGCTCGAACGGACAACCTGTATAATTTTGCTAAATATGGTATGGAATGACGTCACTTTTTGTATTGATTTCTGGCTGTCAAACACGAAAAAGGGACTGGGCTATGACAAATGGAGAATTTCATCACAAATGAAGGGTTTTTTGTTGTATTTTTTTGAGCAAAACTATAGTTTTTTAAGGTATCCAAAGACATCAAGCAAGGAAACAGGCAAATAATGATTCGTTATCGCCTTGTCATTGGGTTTGTGTTATATGCACTTATATTTTGAGACCAACAGACCAATCTTGGATGAACGTGAAACAATGGCTTCATTTCAAAGCTGGAGTTTTATCTTTCCTCGAAATGAATTGAAGACATTGTTTCGTGTTAATCCAAGGTTATGTTGGATTGGTCTATTCCACACCAGATTTTTTTGGGGAGACGCTCTATAAAGGCTAAAGGGAAGGAAGTGCCGCGTGAAGGTATGTGTACATGTACCAAAGTCTGTCAGATACACGATACTGTCACTGTTAGAAAAACAACTTAGAATGAAATCCTTGTTTGTTTTAGWTTTTTAGAGAGGTTGTTTGGAGCAAGCTATAAGATCGAAAAGGTCACTAGAGATTAGGTTATAGGAAAGGTTACTTCATCCTGCYCAGCCAAGGGAAACGAATGCCACAAGTGCRGGGRCAGAGACCATTTTGTTTGCTAGAGTAAGGAAAAGAAAGAGAAACTAAAGAAGAAACTAACTTCGTCTGAGAAAATGACAGCGTCGAATATACATTCCAAGTAACTGACAAGAACAGCGATGCGATGATCAACGCTCGTGGGAGGAGTCAAACTTAAGTACTCATTGACTCTGGAGCTAACGGGAATATCATATATGAGCGAACATGGGAACTGTTAAAACGCAAGCATTCMAAGTTCAGGTCCCATCCAGGTGATGGTGGGAAGAAATTATACTCCTATGCATCGAGCAAACCTCTTGAAGTGAAAGGAATGTTTTAGGAATCAGTGGAAATCGCAACCGGTGAGACTATGGCAGAGTTTRTGGTAATCAAGAGAAAAGGCACACTCCTACTTGGAAAAAGAATGACCATGGAAGTTTTTGCCGTAAAAATAGGCGTAGAAGYAGCAGCGATTGCAGACACCGCACCGAGTCGGTACCCTGATGTTTTCAAGCTGCACAATGACCCTACTGTTGAACTGGTGTCCCAACCGCTTCAACAAACAGCCTTCCGCAATAGAAAGAAAGTAGAAGACAAGATACAGGAACTGAT